AAATATCAATCCAAATACTCGAATACAACAGTTTGGCGATGAGTATGATAAAACCGGATGGTACTATTCTGTTATTGACCTATCAGTAAAAAAAAACTTTAAAAAAAAATACAATTTAAATATGTGCCATAAAAACATGTAATATATATATATATATATATATATATATATATATATATATATATATATATATATATATATATATAGATGCTTTACTTCAAACGAAGCTGAAGATGAATTTGAAAAAATTGTTTAGAGAAGTGTATGATGATAGATCTGCCATGAAATTTATCAATATCACACCATTATTGAAGAGAGCAGGATGTGTGAATTTGGCCACTCTAGGTCCAACATGGAGGTGCTCAAGAAATATGTGGTAAGTGCGAAAGCAGTGTAAGAAAAGGTAATTGGTTGGAGAGGTCTAAGTTGCCCTTGGATACAATTATCCATTTTATTTACTGTTGGGCTTATGATCTCCCATCAATTGATTTTTGTGATCGGGAACGACTACAACAATTACTTAAGAGAGCCATGCATCTGGAAGTATATGAAGAAAAGTATGATGATAGACATAGAAGGATTTATTGTAGAAATAGACTTGAAAAGAAAACGTAATGATGCTTGAATAGTAAAGTAGTGTTCGGAAGAATATATTTGCCAAACTAATGAATGTTTCCTTTGTACTGTTCTTCAAAGACAGATCTGCGGCAACTCTACTACCAATAATTTTTGAGCAAATAGAACCTGGTTCGATTATTATGAGTGATAGTTGGAAGGCGTATAATAGAATAGTAGAAGATGGATACCAACATCCTTATTTAAATCACAAATAGGTATAATTTTGTGGACCCTGAAACTCCTACCAATACTAAAAAAGTAAAAAGAATGTGGGCTCAGCTAAATGGAACAATATTCGTGAAATCCACAGAACTTAACTAGATTCGTATTTAGCAAAGTTTATGTGGCACCAAAAATTAAAGCGACGGATCCATTTACCTCAATTATAGAAGATATTCATTATTTTTACAATGATTTTCCTCTTGTTAATAAATTTTTTTTTTGCGATGTAGTTTTTTTTATTCTAATTTTACCATGTTATAATTTAAAAAAAAAATTGGGGGAGCAATAACCGGATTTCTCTGGGTGAGATTTTTTTTTTGGACCTCAACGTGGCAGGCCTTGCATCCTTGGAATCTGATCAAGACTTGATTGTGAGGGTCATGAGGGTCCGATGCATCCCAGTGTCATGAAACTGTTAATGGTAAAACAAAAAGAAAGAGCAGAAAACTAATTGAGTTAAAGAAAACTGCAGTACCTGTGTCAGGTATGTCAGTTACTTACATGTCCATACTGTCTGTTGGGGGCTGTGCCATGGCTCTAGCACTACATTTTCTTCCTTTCATTCAGTTTGGACATGCAGTGTTACCACGTCTTCAGTCAGGGTCTTTATTAAGGTCCCTACTAGAGATCCATCTAAAGTTTCAGAGAATATTCTGAATTGTTTAAACTTCGATGAAGACATGTTTTATTATTTATTTATTAATATATGTCTTATTAATATTTATTTTTTTATCTTTAGGATTTTCGGACATTTTGTTTCCACCAGTATGAGAGTCAAGTAGTCTGCAGGTACTACCCCCTCTCCCTACAGACGGCTACTAATAGGGTGACGCCTGGTGCCCCAAGGGGGTCAATAAGAGACGGTATAATTTTACCCACCCTCTGCCATTCAGCCACAGCTCGAGCTCCCAAACCTAGCTTGGGTGTCTTTCAGGACCATCGCAACTATCAAAAGGATAGAAGCGATGGACCCTGCCTCAGTCATCCTCCATTCCCATCTGATTCCCCGCGGGGCACCACATGGAGGTAGGCGTTGCTAAGGATAAGGAGATCTGGGAACTCACTTTTTTTTTTAAGTTTAGTAATGTTAATAAAAACCGGGACAGATGGGTTTTAAGCTTGAAAAGTATGGCATGCCATACCCAAAAGCTCATCCAGAAATGTAACCGAAAAGTATTGCTTGATTTTCAGAGCTAAGGAAATGTTATTAACCCCTCGCAGTCCTTGATGGACTCTGGAGTGTTGTGAATGAAATTCGAACTGATAAGAAAGAAGATTTTGGGATTCTATAAAGGGTAGGATTCATTTCAGAAGGATCTTTTCAATATTTTTGACCGTATTTGAGATGGCCGAACGCATCCTGGTATCTTGTACTGAGATGTAGGGATGCCGTGCTAGGTTATTGCTTTAAACCAGCATCTATAATCTCGCGAAGGCGGACTTCTCCCATCTTGTCAATGAAGAAAATGACCCGTTCTTCTAGGAATTTGTATACGGGTAGAAAGAGCTGGTGGGCCCTTCACACTTTACCTTAGCTAGAGCAAGGGTACCCTCACCAGCAGCAGAGAACTAAAGATGCCTAGGGAAAGATGCAGCAATGCAATATAAATATATAAGGTAGAGGTAAGGTGCACAGCTGTGTACTGGGCTGCACCACAGTTCCTTAAAATAAATAATAAAATTATCAATAAATATAGTCAATAAAGAGTAGTTTATTGGCATTAGTGGGCATACGAGAATCCCAACGTATTAATCCACTGCTGCCAGACATCCCGTATGGCAGCTATGCCGGCCAGGGGGATAAAAAAAAAAAAAAAGATTGGGATTTAAGTCTGCACACAGGATGCAGTGATACCCTAAGGAGTTGGTGAGAGAACTGAACTGGACATTGGATATAGATCTGTTAAGAGGGAAATATGCTGATAATACAATTTATATTTATTTATAAGAGAGCCTGTGAAAAAAAATCGACATTATTTAATGAAAACTTAAAAAGCATTTTTATAACATTTATATAAAAAAAATTGAAGTCTGTCAGTTGGATCTTGCTACCTGTAAAAATGATGGATGATGTAAAGAATATTAGGCCAATAACTTGAGAATGGCATCAGTAAATTCATTGCGAAAAATGGAAAAGTTTTTATTTTTTTTAAACTTGTATATATTGATTTAGACATGTAAAAAACAAAATTGCTAATGCTCGCCACCAAGGGAAAATTTTTTGTTTCAAAGAAACAGATTTTTTTTCCTGAATTGAACTGAAAAACAGATTAACACACTCCTAAACGGTGCATCGAAGCCAAAAACGTTCTCTTTTTAGAAATGAAATTAAAAAATGTTAAATTGTGCATCAAACAAGTACCTAAACTTAATAATTTGGTTAATTGATATGGTCGATTACCAAATTCGTCAAAAACCGAGAGAAATTACTATAAATGGCCCTGCAACGACAATATATATATATATAATCAATTATAGACTGTATATATATATATATCCTCAGCTTTGGCTCTTTCACTTTTTTCCACTCCACTAGTGAAGTGGATATAGTCATCATACATTTATTTCCCTTTCCCTTTTAATTTTGTCTCTGACAATACAACAATATCCATTTTTAATTTCTATAATTCACCTACTCCTTTTCTTTTTGTCCTTAAACCTTGTACCTTCCAAGTTCAATTCGTATTTTCCATTTCGGCAGCCATTATTATTTCCTTTTTGACTGTCTTCCATCCAAGGCTGTTTTATGCTAATTTATGATTTTCCGATGATGGGTTACAAACCCAACGCCAACTCTCCAACCTAGAGGACCAGGGAACTTGATTTTGGGGTTCCCTACCCCTAAGAGGGTTGCCTTCACTATGGCTTGGAGCCCCACCTACCCTCAATATATTAGGCGTTTCCTGCAGTTCACAATGGTGATACCACCATGAGTCAGTACCACCTCTGTTAGAGTTTCTCAGGGAGCACCGCGAGGGGGTAGAGGTATGGTTTCACTCCCCAGTACAATTTTGTGATTTCATGTTTTTTTGATACCTGGTCATGGCTCCTGTTCTACAAAAAACAAAGGTAGTTGGACTTCTTGGATTTCTTACTGCTGCTGTTGTCGTCATTTCTGAGATCAAAATCATTGTTTTTAAAGCATTGAACCAATTATCTGCATGTTCTTTCTGATAGAGTATGATTGCTTTAAGTTTCCACAAGAATTCTACAAACTTCAGCTGCAGTTTCATTTGGTAAAATGGTGTAATAAAATTTCCCCCAAAAATGGTTTTGAGAGTACAAATATACCCATGTTTGAAGAGATATGAAAAACCTATACAATTTGAGGATTTAAAATAAACTAACAACTAGAATAGAGAGGATTATTTCTTGAATAAAGTTGGTTCTATTGTTGTCAGACGCGCATAGGTAAACAAATATTCTCAAAACAACAAATGGTGGAAACTTATTCATGTACCTGATAAAAAAAAAAAAAAAATGATGGATTGGATTTCAAACTACATTGTAGATCTTCATCAGGACTAAAAGAGCAAGATAAAAAAAAAAAAAAAATTAATTTGTTCAAATTACAAAAAAATAATATAAAGTAAAACTTAATGTCAAGTTAGTATTAGATACCAGTTACAAGGTGATCTATTGTTTGAGTTAAAGAATGACGTTTAGCAAATGAAATTAGTATAAACAGAATAAAAGAAAGAAAATAATACAAAAAATTAATTAAAATGAATACAATGAATTTGTTGATATAACAATAATGTTCATTCATTACCTTATTCCTAAAACTTTGTTCTCATTTTCTCCAATATCAGGAGGTATATTAGAGGGTATATTACCCTTTATTGACGTATAATTAACATCTTCTATGTCTGGTATTATATTAGTGACTATTAGTAGATTTAATTTCATTTAAAGTTTATTTTATTTAAGTATGAAAGCATTTGTATTTATTTGTAAACTAGTCTTGTGATGATAAGAATTTTGCAGTGAGTCTTATATACAATTTTATTAATTTAAGTTATTTTGTATTTATTGCTGCAAAAAAAGATTAAAGATTCACATTGCGGAACCATTATTGTTTCAATTGTTTGTCTCACTAATCATTCACTCTGAACATTTTATTTTGTTCTATTCTGACCTTATTTTTCATGATATTTCAGATTCCAGATAGATCCAGAGATGAAAGGCTTAGTTCTCCTCAGTTGATGAACTGGCCACCTGACAACGACAATGATTATGAAGGAATAGATTCTGGACCAAGTCATAGTAAGCGACGTCTCAGGGCAAGTCCTCTAAGGTAAGATTGTTTTGTAAAATAATGGTATGATTCTTATAAAAATTAGATGTACTGTGTTGTTAATACTATAACTTGAAACTTTGTGAATTTTTTTATAATTACCTTCCCATAGGTGAAATCCTTGAAAAGAAACCATAAGCAGATCTTTAAATTTGGTTTTCCTCTTCTTAACTTCAAGCTCAACCATGCCCTCTGTTGGCTGTTTATCGTTTTCATTCCTATTTTATTTTTCTCAATTGATATAAGTTTGATCGTATTTGCTTCTGTCAGGTGTCTCTTTGATATGTGGATTGAATGCCCACATTTATTTTTAAACAACGACTGGCAGATTGAACATGTCTGAGAAAGAATATCTTTTGATTTTTCTTGATGTTTATGATTTAAATCTTGGTTAACCATATGAAATCCCTCTTGAGAAGGAACTTTTAAGCTATGAGAATTATAGTTAATTTATTTACTTCATGGTTCATAGTCTCTTTTTTGTTTGATGGTTCATAAAACTTTTTTAAATATAGTAGAATTATTATTTAACGTTTTGGCTCTAAAAAGCCATTAAAAAAAAAAATCTTCCAAATATAAAACAGTCTTGCAATAGGTTATCAAAGTTAAGAAACACCGAGTGTGGTTAGCACTCGGATGGGTGACCGTCCACCAGGGAAAGCCAGGCTGCCCAAGACCCCTCCCCCGGTATGTGAGGACTGTCAGCCTACTGGAGGCAACTCACACCAACCGGGTGTAAGACTGATGATCCTACCCACGTGTACTTAAATCGGGAATCGGAATGTGGTTTAGTAGACCACATCTTGCAGACAAAGATCTTAATGGTCTGTAGTGCCAAACGAAAAGAAAATATATATATATTATTTTTTAATTTTGACATCAATGGTTTGCCTACATACAGTAATGTATCATTCTTTTCTAATTTCATTTAGTTATTTTTACTTTATTGTTTTTAGCTGCTATTTTGCAGTAGTGTGACCTTATTGCTCATCTTTTTGTTTAATATATCTTATAACTATTTAAATACTTCTCTTATCACTTTTGTTTTAGTTATTCTTTTATTGTAATTAGTCTTTTGACCAGATTTAATGTTAATTTGTATGAACAATATTGTTATTCTTAAGGGACTTTGTCCCAGAATAAAGATGATTCTTCTATTCTATTCTGTATTTAAAAAAAAATTTTTAATTATGAAATAAAAGTTTGTGAGATTAAAAGGCATTTTCGTAGAAACTTAATTATATATTGAATAAATATAGTATTGATATTTATATTTAGTTTTATTTCCAGATCTGCTCGAACTACAATTCATTGGGATGTAAATACTAGTTCACCTAAACACACATCCCCATCCTGTTCAACAGATAATGATCACCCAGGTCCATCAAATTCAGAAGCATGTGGTTACAATAGTGGTGATGAGTATGATTTTAGTCACAAGACTAAACGTACTGAAGCTCAGTGGATTGAGGTATTAACTGCTTAGTTGCTTCCTTAATCATAAAAAATAGTAAATTAAATTAATAAACAAAACTGCTTATTATTAAGAATTAATATTATTCTAAATTAGTTTATAATTGGAAAATTCCCAAACACAAGTGTTGAATCTCTAAAATTCAGTTAAAATGAAACTAACCACTCAAAGCTTTACTTGTTAAGGCATCATAAGGACAGAAAACAACTCAAATCAATGATTTATGAGGCATGGCCATTGTTGGGGCTAGGAATATTTCAAAATTGGAATAAAATTCTTTTCCCCTCAATCTCCTCAACCAGTAGGAAATACGAGTAAATAAACGAAGGTTTCTACAGGCCTCTAGGAACACCATTCAGTACTCATAAATGGCTTAGGTATAGTGCTATAATAACGTTTTTGGTACATGATATTGATTGTATTAACGAACAAATTTTAATGCAATAATTTAATTGTCCAAAAGAACTAAACAATCTTTTTAAAATTTATTATTTTGATTTTATTTTTTAAATTTTACTTCTTTTATTCTATATGTGGAGGTCATTTAAGAAGGTCTCTATTGTAAAAGTGATATAATTATAAAACTTAATTCAAAAATACTTTGCTGAATATCTTGAATTTTTTATTTAAAGTTTGCAATTTAACACTTTGTTTTTTATATTTACTAATTCTTAGAGGTAATTTAAATTGTATATACTTCTCCAGTAATGAGTCATATTAATACCTGTTTTATAAACTAAAATAATGTATACCTAATCTGAACTACATATAATGAACAGTTGATGGGTTGTTTAGTAAAAGTCATATATCACTAATAATAATTATAATAAAAGGCTTAGTGAACCCAAAGGTTCGATGCCGACACCACCAATCGCTTATTACACACTTCCCTCCACCCTTTGCCGTCCAAACCTAGTCCCTTCAGATCATGTTTAATGCAATCTTCCCACCTTTGCTTCGTTCTACCCCTCGGATGTTTACCGTTCGGTACAGCAAATATTAACCTTTTAGGAATTCTCTTGTTACTAATCCCAACAATTTTACAAGCCCATTTGATTCGCCGGGACGAAATCATCTCAATTATATTACCCGGGTGCAGGGTATTCTCTGATAAATTCCTCGGCATATTCCGTGATTAAAGTGAATATTTTATAACGTACCGGAAGTAGTGAAATTCCTCAATAATTATTACAATTCATCCTCGTGCCCTTTCTGTGAATCGGAATAAGAATAGATTCTTTCCATTCTTGAGGTAATTTCTCATTCTCCCAGATCTTTTTAACCAATCAATGTATTGTAGAAACTCCAGCTTCCCTGCATGCCTTAATTAGTTCAGTAGGAATATTATTGGTTCCCGCTGCTTTATAAGATTTTAATTTTCGATAGCTACTTCAACTTCCTCTTTACTCGGTTCTTCTATCAACGGTTCAGCACTCTGGTACTCAGAACGAGAACACAGATCATAATTTCCCGTATTTAAAATATTATCAAAGTGGTTCTTAAACTTATTTAATATGTCAACCGGATCGGTCAGAATATTGTTATTATCATCCCTAATTCCAGACGTTACGGGCCCTAACATTTACGTGATCTGTTTATACCTTTGTACATGTCTCTTACGTTATTTTCGATTCTATTAGTTTCTATTTCAATTATTTTATTTTTAAGATACTCCCGTTTTTTATTTTTGAGCAATTTTGTCGTTTCATTCTTTGGTGTTCGGAAGTATTCCAGATTGTCTTGGTTAGGATTATTTAGAGCTTTTAATTTAGCGGCTTTTCTTTTTTCGCACATGTTTAAGCAATCTTCATCAAACCACGGTTTGTTATTCTTATTTTCCTTTTTTCCTAGACACGAGTTACCGACCGCTTTAATATTATCCCTGATCTCTACCCATAACTTGTCAACATCCTCGCGGTCCTCGTCAGAAAGCTCTAAAGCTTCAAACCTATTCTTGACATCTAGCTCGAATTGGGTTCTTATTGATGGATTTTTTTATTTTTCTAAATTAAAATTCTCAAAATCGAAACGGTTTTCTTTTCTCTTTTTTATATTAAGTTTTTGTCGAAGTTTCGCGATTACTAATTCATGACCCGACCCACATTCTGCTCCGCGATAAGATCGTACATTAATTATACTGCTTTGCCAGCTATGTTGTATCAATACATGATCGATTTGATTTCGTGTTTGCGAATCCGGTGATGTCCAAGTATATTTGTGAATATCCTTATGTTTAAACGTAGTACTTTTAATTATCAAGTTTTTCGAGATGGCAAAGTTTATCAGACGGATCCCATTATCATTACTATATTTGTGCAAACTTTCTTTACCAATCGTTGGAACATAAAGTTCTTCCCTTTCACACCTTTGCGTTCGCGTCACCTACAATTATTTTCATGGAGTTTCGCGGTAGTTTATCATAAACCCATTCGAGTTTATCGTAAAATTAACATTTGACTTTATCGTCACTGTCACCGGTCGGACAATGTATATTTATTAATGCTATTTTAAACCAATCTACATATACATATAAAATAAAATTAAGAAATTATAGATAGAAGTACAATGTGAGTAAAAACGAAAATGAAAGAAGTAAAACGTACATAAAAGTAAAGTGTAAATATAAAAATAAGAGACCATACATTGGAGAACTAATTTAGAAGTATAGAGAGGAAACAAATATGAATAATTATAATTACACTTAGTTGTACATATGAAAATTAGATTTAAACATTAGATAATATTGAGACATAATGGTTAAAAAGTACAATGAATACAAAGTAAAAACGGATGATCATACATTGATGTAGAATGTGAATGTAAAATTAAAAATACCCATAACTTGTCAATATCTTCATGGTCCTCATCAGAAAGCTCTAAAGCTTCAAACCTATTCTTAACATCTAGCTCGAATCGGGTCCTTAACAGATCAGAAAGAACATTCTGATGTTTTCCGCCTATAAGAATAGCGATATCGTCCACTATTTACTTTATTATCCTGCAGTATTTAGTGTGACGATCAAAGAGTCCACCACAAAGTACCACAATATTGTGGAAAGCACCCTGTGGACAACCTCCTCCAGGCTTAATCCACATTTGGGTGTGTCCAAGTTTTGTTTTAAGGATTCAGGTTTCCAGCATGCTACCAATCCATTTGGTGATAAAAAAGTGGATCTATTTTTTCTTGTCCTGTAAGTTTCCATAATGGTTTTATAAGGATTCTTATCGAATGCACCTTCGATGTCTACAAAGGTACTGTTTAGGCAACTTTTCCAATTATGGCAAAATAACTCTCATGAGTTTCAATAAGGCAACATTCTAGTTTTTAATCAGTGGACTGTATCTTAAGGGATTGGTAGGTTAATGATTGTGCAAAAAAAAAAAAAAAATAGCTTACCTTCAATATGCCAGCATACATCTTTTTTACCTGAAGGGCCCTCCGTACGTGACTTCTTGTGCTGGAGATGGTGCTTGGTCAGTGGCTGCCGATGTAATGACGAGATACAACCTGTCGCTCTCAAGGCTTAAGTGTTATCTTTTATCTTTTAGATCTGCCCCCCACCACTCGCTGTAACACGGGAAAATTTATACCTTCCCTGACACAATCATATCCCCAACCGTGAAATATCTCATTTCACAAAAAAAAAAAAAAGAAAAACCAAACTCAGAGATTGGTGATTACCGGGCAAGGCACAAACGAGAGGAAAATTGCTTGGTTTACAATATATAGAGAAATTAGGCTAATAATTTACAATTAACTTAAAATAAAATGATTCCTCATAAAATTTAAACAAAAAATATACATCTCAATAAAAGGTTTCTCCAGAAGGGAGAAGCACTAACTTGTGCACCGGTCGCACCAAAGTGGCTGTAGCAGTCCTCAATTTTACAACCCTAACTACATTGTCGGGCCCTAGAAGTGTTTCTGTTATCCTGGCAAGCCGCCACTCCTGCAGTGGAACATCTTTTTCATGCAGAATTACAAGGGTTCCCTCCTTTAAATTTTCAAGTATACCACTTGTTGTGAGGCACCAGATTATGAAGGTATTCATTCATTCACCCCTCTTCCAAAAATTACAAATAGTCTTGGAGATCATCTCCAAACGACTTGTCAAAGGAAACACAGGTGCATCTTTTTAATGCTATGTATTGTAAAGACCGCCGGTGGTATTCATTTAATTATTTTAAAGGTATAAATAAATAAATATCATAAGTGCCACATCTGGCGCTACCTGAGCGAGGGTAACGACCCACAAGCCCAACCTTTTGTAAGTGGTAATAAAAACCTTTAAGAACCACCGACCAAGACCGACAACTGAGTGTTTAAACAGGATCCCGAAAGACCTTTTCACACCTTCCACCAGAAATACGTAAATCTGTACCTGCTGCTTTACCTTGGCCTGGGGGAGAGGGCGTGGTCATCCCTTAGGCTAGGAATATTCAGCCAATCAGGAAGAAGACTACCAAAAGAGAGGGGGATGAAGAAAGGTGGGAAATAGAGGACTAGGACTAAGGACTTCCTTTTGGGACTCAGCTGAGGGACTTCAAGCTGGGAAGGAAGCGAGGCTAGAGGACTTGATCAGGAGAAGCGGAGAGAGGAAGATATGGACTGATAGCTGAGACTCAGGCTAGAAGACAACCGGAGGGAGCAAGATGAAGACTTGAAGACCAGATCGACGGACATTCCAGAGAGGTAGCCAGAACAGCTAGAGATAACGACAACACCCCTCACCAGCTAGGTAATAACCCTCATTTAGTTATACAATGTAATTTGTGTTGGCAACCATAAATCATTAATTAATAAAATCAATAGAACACATGTAACTTAATCAAGCATTCTCCTCTAGTATGATTCTCAACTATTATTATGTATATAGGTTTAGTTATTATCATTGTATATAATGTTTTTGGTTTTAAATTGTAAATATAATAGTTAGTAAACCATCTTGATGATTTTACATTCTACCTTGCATGCCACCAATTAGATATAGAACAAATAGTAAATTTAAAAACATGATACATCACTTAACTTACAACATCACTTACAAATTATACTCGATTGGTGTAAACTTTGGAAAACTAAAATAAATTATCAAAAGTCACAGCACATCACATTTACTCTAAGACCAGAAACATGCCCTCCTGTATACTTAGACAACATACCGATTCCACAAACAGACAGAGTACAATACCTAGGCCTTACGTTCGATAGGAGAATGACATGGGGTCCACATGTGAAGAAAAAACGAATCACATTAAATCTAAGACTAAAATTGTTACATACACTGTTAAGACGACCTTCCAAATTAAAAGCAAGACAGAAACTAAGTATTTACACGTATCTTTTGAAACCTCTTTGGACTTACGGACTACAAATATACGGAATTGCAAAACCAACTCACATAAATAAACTTCAAACTTTTCAGTCTAAGATACTACGACTAATCACTCAAGCACCATGGTACGTAAACAATCACACTTTGCACACCGACCTACACGTTCCGACAGTCAATGAACACATACGAACGTACTACAAACGATTTCATAACATGTTAAACGGGCACTCCAACCAGCTGGTAAAAGAAATGGCCACAACTAGTATGCCGGAGAACTCCAGAAGACGACTGAAAAGGGTCTGGATGAGGGATCTGCTTAAATAATGTTAGTAAATAAAAGCCATGGAAGGGATACCGCTGGGTATTGCTATTCCTCATGCCTATCAAGCCGTTTTATTTATTTATTTTTTATTTTATTTTTCTCTCATTACTAAGCCAGCACATCTGCTGATTGTCAATAATAATTGACAGGTGCGGATAAATAAATGTAAGTGCAAAAAAAAAAAAAAAAAACAAAAAAAACATGATACCTTTAGAAAAGAAATCCAATAAAAATTATATGGTTCAATCTAGGATACTACAGTAGGGGAGGGGGTCTGTGGTATCTAACATTTAAATACATCATTAATATATTTTAAGTTGATCAGTTCCCTTCTGGGACCGATATAAATAAGTATTAAATACAAATAAATGCGGTTCCTGGAACCCCCTACTCGCCGTAGAAACGCGAGGCCAGGAACATAGCATTTAAAATTCAGGTTATCCGATGGATGATTGCTAATGTTGCAGATAGGACGGGAATTGAGAACGGCTTCAACTCGTACAAGAAGATTATAAAATTCCTCATAAGTTAACGCATGATCCTGGAGAACGGCAAGAAGGTGTCTCTTAGCAGATTTAATAGCTGCCTCCCAAATACCACTGAAATGAGGAGATGCTGGAGGAGTAAAGGTCCATTTTATACCCGTCTTACCCAAATAGTCAGAAATGGGTTCGCTCTGGCCCTTAGCAAATTGATAAAGCTCCTTCAACTTCTTGGATGCTCCAACAAAATTTGTTCCACAGTCACTATAAATATGAGAAGGCAAACTGCATCTGGCAATGAATCTATCTAATGTGGCAATAAATGAAGGAGTGGATAGGTCCGTCACAAGTGCTAGATGTATGGCCTTGGTGGCCATGCACACAAAGAGAGCTAACCAACATTTCGACTTAGGAGCATTTCGCTTACTGGAAATCTTCATAATGAAGGCCGCCTATTCTATTCCAACTCGCTGAAAGGAACGGCCTTCGGTCTCCCTGAAAAACAGTAAGTCACTCATTTTTAGAGCTTATGGTTTCACATTATTTTTGTGGCACATAACACATTTATAAATACGGCTTCTAACGAGTCTTCTTAGAGAAGAGATCCAAAATTGGTGATGAATGAGAGACTAGACTAACAGGGGGACACCATGCAAGGAATACCTGTGGTAATGATCACACGAAAGGACTGCTAAATGAGAGTCTTTAGGTATCAGCAGCGGGTGCTTAGTTTTCTCTTCAATTGTGAAATACTTCAATCTTCCTCCCTCCCTGGGAGCTCCGTCCTTATCCAAAAATGGCGTGAGCCTGTTTAAGGAACCCTTATATGGTTTGCCGCCTTCAAGACAATCAATTAATTCAGAGAAGGATTTCCTCTGAACTAGTCTGGCATAAATTATCAGGGAATCCTTAAGATGGTCCGCAGTCAAGGTTCCAGCAGCAAAATCATCTTGCTCCCTATCTCGGCAACATTTAATAAATTCTAAAATGAAAGCAAAAACTCTTTGAAACTTTAAAAGGCTCGAATATTTTTCCAGGCAAATCAACAAATCATTAGGTTTTTCAGCCGCTAAAAGATATATTGTTTTTACCTCAGGCAGAACAGATGGAGGTTCAATGTGGTAAATAGACCAGTCAGAAGGAGGCCTTTCGATAAACAATCTGCTGGATTCTGTTTCGTAGGAATATAATGCCAACAATTAGGTTCTGTAACTTCCAAAATCTACGCCATTAGCAACATAAATTTTAAGTTCATATGGTGGTGTCTGTAACCAATAGAGTACATTACGAGAATCCGAAAAACAATAAACTTCCTCAATTTTTAAATGACTTTTAAGTTTACCGATACATGTAAGTAATCTCGAGGCAAGAAAAGCAGCATTGATTGAACCTTAAGTAGGGCCACCTTACTTTTTGTCCTTAACAAATGAATTTTGGTAGCTTCTCCAGGGCACCCAACTCTCAGGTAGATCTCACACCCGTAACCCCTCTCGGAAGCGTCTGAAAAGGTGATTAGTTGCATGGATGCAAACACTTTTCAAGCTCGGAAATTCGTGAAGGAAAATCTTCCACAATGAAGACACAATCATCCCAATCAACCTTAAGAAGCCACAGACGTAATAGGCATTTAGCAGAAAAATTACGTTATCTACATAAAGTTGGTCATGACACTGAGCAGCTTTAGGAAAATGGCTGTCTTCCTGAAATATCTGTAGAATGACTCTCTGAGCAATAATGGGAGAACATTTCAACCCAAATGGAAGGGTAACCAACTCGGACTTAGCTTAGAGGAACTTCCAATGAATTCCCACTGACCGTCCTCACATCCGCCATCCTTAGGACACCTCTCCTCTGCGGTGAAGAGTTCCGTCTGAGATTAAATAATTAGGAAAAATTATCTCATGTTACATAAAATTGATAAATTAGAGTGAGTAGTATTTATAAGTAATGAAAAATTATAATAACAATAATTAGTTATCAATAAAATATAGAATATTTAAATGTAGTTATAAAGTAACAGTAATGAAATAAAATATTAAATTATTTTATTTCATTACTCTGTCATCTGCCCACACACTTTGGAATTTGTACAATGAAGACTAGCAAGTCCACTCACTATCTTTAAGATCTATCCCAAAAGTGTATGGGTCTCTTATGGCAAAATTATAATCATCTAACAATATGTATACCTTCTAACTAGTATTTCCGGAGATCATTATTGACCTGGATAAGCATTTTTTGGGAATGCAGGATCCCAGGATTTCCTGTGTTTTTCTTCTATCAATATTGGTATTAAAACTAGTAAAACATACTGCAATGACATTTTTGTTTTACAATTTCGAATGATTATTCAGGAAGAAAAATACAATAATGATCATCTCAGCTATTGTGATAAAACCGGTTTGAAACAAAATTAAATAGTTTTAAAATTATGCATGTTGGACATTCATCTGATTGTATTCAAATATTTACTTTAATTCCTAATATTTTTTCCAATAATCCGAGTTTTTTGATAATTTGAGGGGAACTCATTCCCATCCAGGATTATCGGAACTCCACTATACTGTTGTGAATCTAATTCGGTTAGAGGAGGTCAGCGTTATATATTATTATTTTTATATGTTTAATGCCAACATCTTTATAAATTTGGTTTTATTAAAAAATGTAGTAGTTTATGAATGAGAAAATGATTAGATTGGCAGTCAAAAGTAGTAAACACTTTTAAATATTTAGTTTGAGTTTTGTTCTAATTTTGACTGCCTCCCTGATAATCTTGTTTTAGATTGAATTTTAGTTAACTGTTCAATAAATAGTAATGGTTTATGATATTAACTGCATATTCATCATTTAAGATTTTCTTATATCTTTTGTAGGAAGATCGTAATTTTGAGAAGAAAATGCGTAAACGTGGATTTCTTGTTAAAAAAATGGGTGAAGATGGAGCCTGCTTGTTCCGGGCTGTAGCTGATCAAGTTTATGGGGACCAAGACATGCATGGTGTTGTTCGTAAACATTGCATGGATTATATTGTAAATATATAAAACTTTATTTTTTATTGTTTTTTTTAAATTTATTTATTTATGATATTTACAACTGTATTTTAAAAAAAGAAATTTCCGGTAAATTTCATAACAGAAATTAATAACATGAAAACACTTGTTGAGAAACTATGCACTGGTAGCAATTTAACAAAAAAAAAATATATATATTTACAATAGGAGATCTCGAGGCCATCTTCTTTTCAGAGGCCTCGAAGGGTTATCAGGGATCAAATAGGAATCAAAGTTAGAAACGAGTGAATTGTCCGCTGACCTTACTTAAGGCAGAATTTCAATAACGTTTTTGAAGTGAGCATCTTTTCAGATGTTGCGAGTCAGTTTCGCTATTTCGAAAAATGGTGTCTCGTCATCTGAATTTTCGCATGAAGAGTTCTTGTCCAAATTCATATTTTCCATGATAAGGATAAAAAAAAAGTATATATATTTATATATTGTAATGTAGACCTTTTTTATTGTTTTTTATTTAACAACGTCTTATTTATTTTGGAAGTATCCCAACGGTATAAAGTGATCTTCCGAGGTTGTATTATTATTATTATTTTTAAAATATAAGAGAGATGTTACAATATATATATATATATATATATATATATATATATATATATATATATATATATATATTTACCTTAATCAGAGTTATAAAAATAAACATTTACAAATTCTTTTTTTTTTTTTTTTAAACTTTTATTATGATATTTACAACTGTATTAGTATGAATACATCTAGTAAATTTGTACAGAGAAATATTATTACATGAAACACGCTTGTTGAGAAACTACCCACTGGTAGCATACAAATTCTTAAAAATATAAATCAACTATTTGCAAGCTTGGAAACAGAAATAAAACAAAACATTTCTGAGAATAAATAAACAAAAAAAAAAAAAAAAAAAAAATTAAAACAAAACTGTCTGGGAGAAGAGGAAAACAAAAAATCTATAAGTCTTTGGTTTCGAACTTAGAGCAGCTGATGAGCATACAAACCTTGGCCGTGAACTTAATGTAAGTTAGGTAAGAATGGCAAGGGAATTAACGGCCACTTGGGCTACACAAACGAGCACCAATTTATCACATGTTCATTGTTAATAAATTGTTACTCACCTGTGTATCCGTGAACGTAAAAATTGTCAACTGTTTATTAAGTCACTGTCGATAAAATATTACCACAGAGTTTTAACTATTAATTACATAACAAAGTAACAATCACAGAGTGACATGAAAGTTATACTGCAGTTGTGGCCATGATCTTTTTATTGTTCAATGCTTTTTTTTTATTCATTCATTTCTCCAATTCTGAAAGTATCATACACTTATTAAGTATTATTAATTGCTGTTCTTTGATCCCATACCAGTGTCTGTATAATAAAACATTCAAAAGTAGGCTTTTAGTTCTGTAAAATCCTTTGCTTTTTAGAGATACACTTATTAGGTATTCAATTTAAAAAAATAAAAATAAGCATAAATTGTTAATTTTATTTTTCCATTGCAGATATTTAAAATATGAATAATTGAATCATAAAAATATTTTCTGTCATGATCATGTACCTGTTTTCATTATTGACAAGAATGTAAAAAATATTTTGTTATTTTTGTTTGCTTTTACAAAATTGCATTTATAAAACAATTTTTATGATTAACAAATATTATAATTTGTTATTGTTTATAGGCTTTAAACAGTGACTACTTTTCTCAATATGTCACAGAAGACTTTGATACATATGTGAACAGAAAAAGGCTTGACTGCACACATGGAAATCATATCGAAATGCAAGCTATGAGTGAAATGTATAACAGAACTATTGAAGTGTTTTGTTATGGAAAAGGTTTGTTTTACTTTAATATATATTACATTTTTCTTTGTCCCTTTGAAATGCTGATTTATTTATTTATTATTATTAAATATTTATTAATATTATTTTATATATTATTTATTTATTATTAAATATTATTAATTATTTATTTATTTACTCTTATATCAGTCTACACTAGAAGTTGGGACGGTGTAGGTTTAGTAATGTGAATGAAACACCAAAAGTAAACTTATTTTATTGTGTGCCGATGTTTCAGCGTATGTTTTAGACCTTCTAGAATAAATAAAAACCAAAGAAAAACTAGTAAAAAATAAGATAAGAAAAACAGTTTAATGAAAAAATAAGAAGATAACAAACAATATAGAAATGTATGGTAATGATTATGAAAAATCAATCTTGTTTAGGTAAATTATTAAAAATAAAAATACAAAACATGGTGTGGATGAAAGATTATGATATATAAGAAGTAGCCAAATAAATTTAAATTTATATGTATAGTATATGGGCAGTGTAACACTTCAAGTGTAAGTCTTGAGCTAAACAAAATAAAAAAATCTGGTGTGTCCACTCATACGACTTTCCTACCTATTTGAGAAAAGTTTTTATATCTTTAAATATGTTCATTAAGAAAAAAAATAAAATTAAATTGGATTTATTTTCCAGAAAATCGATCAAAGAAAAGATTTGAGTACTATTTCTTAGATAAACTAAAGCAATGAAAACCAGCCTGTGGAAGATCAGTGTAAAAAATTCAATACACTAATATTGCTAATCCAAAACTTACCTTAATCCAATTTTGTCAAAAATAATCATTTTTAAAAGTCGAGAGAAAACTTGTGTGATGTGGGTACTAGATTTTCTAGTTTTCTCTCATTCACCGCTTAGACCCGTATTCTTACATACGAAATTGAATATCTGTAACTTCGTTAATAGTTGTCCAAAATGAACAATCAGTAGTCAAAACCCTACAAAATAAAAAAAAGAAGCAACAAAATCGGTCCACTAGTTCCCTAGATAATCTTGGCACAAACAGACAGACCAATAGCTGAAAATATGTTTTTCGGGTTCAGGGGACTCTGAAACGTATAGAACTGTTGAAAACCGCATGTCTGAAATTTGACCCAATCTTAATACTTTCCTTACCTAGTATAAGTAGGAAAGTAATCTATTAAAACATGTGTAGAAAATAAAATACGCTATATCATCGCTGATACTGGTTCAATTCCGATAAATTTTTTTCACTCACCCTGTTCTGCAGCGAATCTTCTTTTATATTGTTGTCTTCTACTCCTACAATCTTCTTTTTATCTTCTCCAAGGCATCTTAACTTTAAATATATTTTCCTGCAATTTGCAATATGAGGATGTGCAACAAATTCTTAGTCCTTTCATGAATACTGGCTATTTTTTATATTAGTGTTTTTTTTTTTTTCAATTATTTACCAGTTACTTTCTATTATTTTTAAAGTGGAATCCAGAGATATATTTGGAAACATATTTATAACATCAATAATTTTTTGTGGGAATAAAATGTAATTAATTATGTTTTTTAACATATGTTATAAAATAAGTTATATTTATATAGAAAAAATTGTTTTAAATATTTGTATTATTAGTTAATAGTGACTGGTTCATGATTGAATCTATAATATATTAATTGTATTATTTTAGATTGCTGAAGAGGAGAAAAAAGATTCCCCGAAACGTCTTATAAGTAACAAATCAAAAACTAATTTGATTATTATTAAACTGACTAGGCAAATACATGAGTAATGTTAAAATTATAACAACCATCCTGGCACTGTCGATTAATTTTCCAGAACATATCTTTTTTTTTTGGAAGGGGATTGTTGCCTCTAGATTGTCCCCCTGGATACACCCATGCACATGTGTTATCGGTTTACAAAAAAAGAAAAAAAAAAAAAAAAAAAAAACGGTTTTGGCCTAATATTGATAATGTGTTATGGAAATCCTACAATGATGCATTTTTCATGATTCATTTGTTCATATTTCCTTGTTTCGTCAAAACGTTAATTTTGTTTTTAAAATTCTTAATTTTTAATCTGGTCCCATCTTAGGGAGACTATTTTATTTATATCATTAATATTTTATGTTTATATTTAGCTGTTAGCATTCTTGTTTTCCTTTATGGCTACCTTAATTATTTTTATGAAAATGTAATTCCTTTCTAAGGATGCTAAAGATTAAATGTTGACATAAATAGAAATCAAGCTCAAATTGTTTATTGATTTTTATCAGATCCAATCAACATCTTTCATGGTGTGCATCAGTCTGATAATGAACCTATACGCCTATCTTATCAGAGAGGTAGTCACTACAATAGCATTGTTGATCCCCACAAAGCAACTATTGGTGTTGGCCTGGGACTTCCGAGTTTCAATCCTGGATCAGCTGAAAAAAATTTGTTGAATGATGCAATAAGGCAGAGTGAAGAATTACAGATAGAACAGGTTTGTAGTCTAAAATGAAAGATAAAAATTCTCATAAAATGCTATATTGATTTTTATTAAAACTATAGTTTTTTATTGTATTAGTTAAGGTATGTAATTTAAATAATGTACTTTGAATGTAAGATTATATTAGAAAAACTTGTAGATAATTGCCATTAAAGCTTAATACAGTACAATTCTTTATTTAGATAATCGATCTCAAAAATGTGAAAGTTATAATGTGACAAAATGCAAGTATTATAATTGTTTGTAATTAATGACGAAGGACTTCTTACTTCAAAAAAGCATTTAAAAAATATATGTTTTTTACCCAAAAGTTTTTTTTCTAAAAGGGATTGATAATTATGCTGTATATAAAGAAACCCTATGTAGTAGGACTGCACTACTCTGAATGAAGTATTTCTTTTTTTTTTGTAAAATTAAAATTAAATTAAATTTATGTAGGTGTGTGTATACATGTCTATGTCCTAAAGTTAAAATTGAATTAAATTTATGTGTGTGTGTATACATGTCTATGTATTTATAATTGTTTTTTAGTTGGTGTATAGACCATATAAATCTTTTGCCCCCACCCCTCCCAATATGGTATTATTACAGACACATAGGAGAACATGTAGCCTGGAGAGAGTCACCCAACCTCAAGTTTTTATAAGCCATGGTGCAGGTGTAGGTCATCCGTGGCTATTTAGCCAATTCCTTTAACGGAAATCTGGCAGTGTCCTTTCCACTGACTCACTCAGGTTCAAGGACTGATAAATAAGTCTAGATCCATGGATTATGGCTGATCAGAGTCAGTAGGCCACAAAAGGAGTTATATTTTACCTCTGAGGAGCAAGTATACAGGATATGGTCATCACTCCTATGCCCGGTCAATGTGTTACCTCCAGTAAGCTAACAGGCCTCACCTACTTGAAGGAGATTTGTGGTAGCGTGGCTTTGAACTTGCGGCCAATCACCCTATTAATGCCAAATAATCGGAATCTCAGTCCAGCTTACCTGTGGCACCAACAAGTGATATAATAATCTGTTTCGTTATTCTGGCCACAGTGCCTACAAAGAGACGACTCCGTTAGCCGGAGATTGAACATATGATAGTTCAGTTTACAGTGTGCAGTATATACTGCTATAATTTTCTTAAATGAGCCTCTGCTCAAATTAATTAGCAGGTTGCTTCTTTTCAGACTTCTGCTTACCACCTGAACATTTAATTCAGTCGAGCCTGCTGATATGCTGGCCCGTTTCTTGAAGGTTTTGTGGGGGTAGGGCAATAGCTCCAGCCTCGGCTGTGGTCACACTCCTAATCTCATTTCCTTCATAGCAAACTTGAAGTCCCTCGACTTCAGCCGTGAGAGATCTAAAGGTGTCTCCCATTGATGCCTCATCGAGGGTGATGTCTAAAGAGGCCCATGAATAGTCATGATACTTAAGTTCGGTGGATAAAGTATCTTCCTCAGAAGAAAGAATTTGACGGGTTTGTAAGTTTTTTGTTTGTTTGTTTTGTTCTGTGCACTACTAGATTAAATAGTATTGTTACCAGTGCATCACGCTGTCTTAGTCCTGTGTTCATACCAAATGAGCCATTTGTAAAAAATGTTCCACTCATCCGGACTTGGCATATATTATTTTCTAAGGTACACCTAGTTTGTCCAATAAGTATTCTAGAGATACCCATTTCTTTGATTGCACTGTAGAGTTTCTCTCTAATTACCACGTCGTAAGCTGCCTCGAAGTTCTCAATTAGTATCCTCAGAGGGTGGACAGATTTATATATTTTTTCACCCAGTTGTTTAAGGATGAAAATTTGATCTATTGTAGTCATATTCTTGCGAAAACCTGCTTGGGTAATCATCAACTAGCTTTCCATGTTCGTCGCATTCATTATGTGCTGAATTCCACTGCTCACTGAAGTATCTCGTCCGTTCTTTCATTACTTCATTAGCCACTGTAATGAGTGCACCATTCTCATCCCTTATCATTGTTTTGTTTGACGTATATAATATTATATATTTGACTTATAATTTTAAGTCCTTGACTTCGTGGACAAATTTCCTTGTCTCTATTCATTTGGGATGATTATATATTTCTAATTTTTTGATCCACAGCTATCCTCTTCTTTTTTTTGTAAATCTTCTTTGTATAAACTCGAGCATTTATTTAACCTACTAGGAGATTTGTTATTTTAATGCACAGATGTTTAAAAACCTCCTTTTTCTAGGTTGATTAATAATTAAATCAATAAAAAAGTAGCGACGCTTCTATTTATAAAAATACTTAGATATAATTATATGTCATAATATACTAATAAATAAAATAATAAGATTTCCTGCAGTTGAATGATTCAACCAAATAATTATTTGTGTTTAAGGCCATGTTGGAGGATAAATTAAGAGCCACTGATTGGGAGGCAACAAATGAAGCAATTGAGGAACAGGTGGCTAGGGATAGTTACCTTCAGTACTTAAGAGACAACGAAAAAAGGGAAAAAGAAAAGGAAAGGGTATGTATTTATAAATTAGTGTATATAAGAATTTTTTCTTATCACAATCCAAGTAAAAAATAATATAAAAATTATTGTTGTGCCAGTACTGAAACATATTTACAATATACCTTTTAAAATTCCATTTTCCATTTTACTTTTTAATTGTTTTAGTCCAACCATTAAATAAAATTTCAAACCACTGACAAACCTTGCTAAAATTCAATGTTCAAACTTTCTAGTGGAAAATTCTTTTATTACCTCTCTCTGGTCTGGCTTTTAACCCTATTTTACGAAATTTTCTCCCCTAAAAATAACCTATGAAATGAAATATGTGACAAAGTTTATCATAATATGCTCCTTATCAAAATCAATATCTTTTATCTAACCGCAATTTTATTACATGCTAGTTCAGATCATTCCTCTCATGTTGATCACAATATGTTAGTCCAAGTCACCCTCTCCACTAAACACTGCTCCTCTCCTGTGTTTTCCCTTAAGGTTATTCTTTATTTACTCTTTACATTTATAGCATTTTCCTCTTTATCCATTGCTTCCAATACCATATCTATGCTGATAATTTCCAAATATGCCTATCCTTCCTATACCTATCAATAATAAGCTAAAGTTGAATGTGAAGAAGACTAAGTTAATTTAAATTAGGTTTAAGCACATTCTTTAAACCAAACGTCAAGTCTCGACCTTATTTTTAAACAATAATTCATAAAATTGTATCCAATTATCAAAAATCTTAGAATCACTTTAGACTGAACTCTTATCAAACAATAGATTAATTGTTTTGTATGTTTTATCTTTGGGATACAGAGGGATGCTATTTGGGGGAACTATTATATGAATTGTTGAAATACATTTTACGATTATTTTTCTTAAATTATATTATTCTTACCATCATAAATATTTCCTATCAAGCTATATCATCTCTGATCCCCAATTCAAATCCTCTGTTCCTTCACACAATAACCCATCCTTCAGATTCATTTACAACAGCCCCTTACAAAAACATTTAACAAATCTTCCATTATTAAATTCTCATAATTCTGGAATTCCATTCATTCTTTCATCCATCGAATCTATACTGAGAAATATTAATCAGTTATTTATACCTTGCTTAATGTTTTATTCTTAATTTTATAGTTATAAATTAAATTTCATAATTGAACTATTTACATTTATTTTTAGCCAATCCCATTAAAACAATGATTAGTTTTTATTCCTTCAGGAAAGAGAAATTGGAACATCCAGTACTGCTGCTGTAAATGATAATAAGAGTAATCCAAAACCTTCCTGTACTGAACATTGTGAAAGTGAAGATAAAGTTTCATTACAAATTGTGGATCCTTCTTCATCTTACCTGTCACCACAATTATTTGGTAAACTATAATTCTTTCAAATAATGTGAATGAATATTTATTTTAGACATGAAATAAATTTATTTATGATGTTTGAATGTGTTAGCATAAATGCCTCTGCCTTGTGCTGTATTAAAAAACATCCATTCTCTTTACTACATCGACCTATACTGACTGCCTAACAAACATAGGTAATGAATGAAATGTGGCAGTTGAAAAAAACAAAAAAAAAAAAACACAAAGGGTCTCATTACTATCTAGGAAAAGTACTGTTTCTAGGTCAACAGTTGTGCAAGGAGGTGATTTGACTAAGATCACTCTCAACCGCCAGGTTTTCCCCTTAATTAATTATTAAATTAAGAGTACCCACTTTATAGAGGCTGGGTGTGCCCCAGGAGGGTTTCCTGACCCCAGGGTCACCCCTCAACTGATGAAACAGAATAAATAATTTTTCTGCTATGAGCTGGGATTTGAACCTAGAACCTTGAGCATTGGAAGATCAGTGCCCTACCACTGAGCCACCCCACACCTTGTTGGCAGTTGAAGGTCGTTTCTTTTTGGGTCTGTGGTGCTCCACCCAGTCAAGGTCCTGAACACTGATCATGATATTGAGACCGGCTCCTGCACTAGCAACCAGGGCCAATGCATCGAGTTTCCTTATGCATACAGATATGCTTCCCATCTCCACTAACCTATAAAGTAGGACCTGCTCAATCTTGTTTAGTCATATTTCAAGTTCTCCTACACAAGATTTGAGAGCTTTATCCTCATTCATTAAATGTTCTAAGTGCTTAGGTGGGCTCTCTAATTAGTTTTTAAATTTTAGATAGTCTCTGTGAGCTCGAAAGTAATAAGCTCGTCATATTTAATATTTATTACTCATGAGGAAAAGAACTTTTTGGTTAATAAAGAGTGTCTACAGCCTTTAATTCTCTTAGTAATAATTATAATAAAAGGCTTAGCGAACCCGAAGGTTCGATGCCTACACCACTAATCGCTGTCTACACACCTCCCTGCACCGGTCTCCGTCCTAACCCAGTCCCTTCAGATCGAACTTAAAGCAATCTTTCCACCTTCGCTTCGGTCTACGAGTCAGCACAGCAAATACCTTTTTGGAATTCTTTCGTTACTAAGTCCAACAATTTTACAAGCCCAGTTAATTTGATGCAATGTAATCACCTCAATTATATTAACCGGATTCAATTCACATAATTCGGTGTTGTGTAACCGTCTCAACTCTCCAGTTAACTCATCCTTCTTCAGTCCGAATATTCTGCACAATACTTTATTTTCAAAAACCTTAAGACGTTCTTCATCCTTGATATAAGTGGCCCCATTTTGCATCCATAAAGAACCGTAGGTAGGATAATGGTTTTATCGATACTAATTTTTAAGTTCCGGTACAGGAGGTGCAAGCTAAGTAGTTTTGTCACAGAAAAATAACAAGCATTTCCCACCTTCATCTAGCTAACATCAGCCTAACCTTAATCTCCTCTTTAATTTTACCGGACGGAATGAGATGTTATATTATATTATTTTATTTTATTTATTTATTTATCAACCCTGCCGTGCCTAGTAGGCAATACGGGTGTCTGCAATATATTATATTATTGTTCAGAAGTATTCAAGATAGTCTTTGCTAGGATTATTTAGAGCTTTTAGTTTAGCATCTTTCCTTTTATTACTTATGTTTAAACAATCTTCATTGAACCATGGTTTGTTCTTTTTATTTTCCTTTTTCCCAAGACACGATTTTCGGACCACTTTAATATTATACAGCTGATAAAGTTATACAATTTTTTTTTCCTATTCTCACATTACAACTACAAATATTATTGAATAGACATTATTTCTATTTTTTTTAGTTGTTTACATATTATTAGTTAAATTGCTGTATATATTGTTAGAATTTTATTAGGTCAGTCTTTGGCCAGTTATGTATTTTTCTTTTAATTTTGTTCATTATTGTTATTCTGATGGGACTATGTCCCAGAATAAAATTTCTTCTTCTATTCTATAATCACTGATCGTTACCCATAACTTATCTATATCATCGTGGTCCTTGTGCGAAGATTCTAAAGCTTCAAAACTATTCTTAACATCCAGCTCGAATTGAGTTCTAATTGATGGATTTTAATTTATTTACCAAATTAAAATTCTCGATATCGAAAGAGTTTTCTTTTCTCTTTTTTATATTAAGTTTTTGTCAAACTTTCGCGATTACTAATTCATGATCCGACTCACATTCTGCTCCGTGGGGATAAGACCATACATTAATTTTACAGCTTTGCTAGCTATGTTATATCAAGACATGATCGATTTGATTTCGGGTTTGCGAATCCAGTGATGTCCAGGTATATTTATAAATATCCTTATTTTTAAATGTATCTAAAATGTATGTATTTAATTATCAGGTTTTTCGAGATGGCAAAGTTTATCAGACAGATCCCATTATCATTTCTATATTTGTGCAAACTTTCTTTACCAATCGTTGGAAAATAAACTTCTTCCCTTCCCACCTTTGCGTTTCATAGAAGTTTATCATAAACCCACTCCAGTTTATTATCAAATTCGCATTTGACTTCGTCACTGTCTCCAGTCAGACAATGTGTGTTAATTAACGTGATTTTAAACCAACGTCCTTGAAATGTGGCTACCGCAATGCTGCCACTAACGAATTGTACGTCCCTCAAAGCGGATTGCAATCTATTCCTTATTAGAAAGCTGGTACATAAACAATGATTCCCACTTCCTCCATACCAAGTAGTGTACTTTCCTTCCCTTATTGAGCCCTCCCCTGACCAGCAAACCTGTTGCAAAGCCACGATGTCCAAATTGTACTCATTAATGACTTGCTGAATTCAAACTCCTTGCGTTCCACGTTCAATACCTAAATTCCTTTTTTTTCAACTTGCGCCATGAATAACCTTAAGCAGTTCCCCCTAGAGACCCGAACGGGGGACTAGTTTACCTCTGATAATGAGCGTTTTACCTTAGGGAAATCCATGACTATTTGTGGTGAATGGTGATCAAAAGATATGTGAGTAGGGCGTTCAATCCTACATCACCCTCCTGCAAGGCTGAAGGGCTCTTCTAATTGTTGGCCTGCGATTGCATCGGACTTAGCCTGGAGGAATTTCCACCGACCATCCCCACATCCGTCATCTAAAACTCCTTTGCTCTTCACAGTTACTAGTCTATTTTCTATCCTCTCATGACCAGATCCAAATATCTTATAATATCGAAAATCCTTTGATGCAACCTAAAATAATTACGTTCCGCAACCTAAATATCTTCATGTGTGAAAAAATTCTACCTGATGATAAAACACTTGATTAAGATAGGATATATTCCTGTTCCTCTATTGACACAATGATTCACATTGTCACTTCCAACCTTCTCAATTTCTTTGATGCTATGCCCCCCTCTAAACCTCTATATTTTTTCACAGTCCGGTTCCCTGGATGAGTCATAAAATCAAGGATCTTTAGAAGAGGCTAGATGCTGCCCATAGACGCTTTAGACGTACTAGGCTGACCGACGACCATTAAGTGTTTAGAGTGCTTCACAACATGACACAAGCAATGATCTAACAAGCTAAATCATCTACTTCCATGAAGCCCTTTCCTCAGTTCCTAATTAGAAATTAAAATGACTACTCCTCCATAAAGTTTCTCTCTGTAAAGCATCCAGAACCTCTTTCCAGTTTCAGCTGATGATTTAAAGTCAAAATTAATATCCACCTCCACTTCCACCCCTCTATCATCTTCTTCCTGCTTTTCTCCTGGTACATTTTTTAACAACTTCTATTTTTCAGACATTTCACCTACAGCCATATCTGCTGTGATAAAATCACATTCCAATTTAACTCATCCAGATGGCATTCCCGTCAAATTTTGATTCCCTGAAGTCCTTCTGATTCTCCTTTTTATCTATAAGTTCTCAATTCAGAATTCATGATTTCCTACCTCATGGAAAAATTCCATTGTTCATTCTTTAATTAAAAATTTAACCCTTCATCTCACCCAGATTTCTGCCCAATTTCAATTCATTTCAACTTCTCAAAATCCCTCGACCGACATTTGCAATCTCAAATTTCCTTGAACAGTCTAATCAATTGGATCTTCATCAATTAGGTTTCTGATTCAGTTACTCTGCCCTAGTTAAAAATAGCAGTGATGTCCAGTCTGCTATGGATGAAAAAAAAAATTAACTGTCCTCGTACTCCTTGATTTTTCTAAAACATTTGATACCATTAACCATTCCATCCTTTTTTCCAAATTAAAATTGTTACCTTTTTCCAACAGCTCTATGTTTTGGTTTCAATCATTCCTCTCTTAACGTTCCCAAGCAAGTTTCTATTCCCAACCAACCCCTATGTTCCGGTCTTATTATGACATAAGGAGTTGCCCAATGTTCGATCTTAAATCAATCCTTCATTCTTCCCATCACCTCCATGCCAATGATTCTCAAATTGATTTATCTTTTTCTCCCTCTGATTTAAGTGTTGTGTTTGCGAAAATTCAAGAAGACTTAGATTGTATCAATAACTGTGCAAGCTTAAATGGATTAAGGTTAAATGCTGCTAAAATACAGGTAATCATTGGTTCCAAATCCATTCACAGATCTAATACTGGCTTTCCTACTCTATACATAAATGACCATCCCATCAACTTCACTTTCTTAGTTAAAAACCTAGGCATAATTTTTTTTTTCTACTCGCCTTTTACGGGATTTTCCTGGACCAGAGGGTGAGGGCGGGAATTTAAAATCCCCTCTGGCACTGGTACGCGAACTCGTACTTTTTTTTCAATCTCAAAACTTAGTTATCTGGTTGTCGAGCAACTCGTGGTGCTGTGCTCACACATTAGCCCATTCAGCCACCCCGCCCCCTTAACTTTGGCATACTCATAGACCATACCCTCTCCTGGAGTCACCTTATTGCTCATATCTCCGGTTGATCAATTTGCACTCCTAAACTAATTCATCGCTTCCCCAATCTCCTATCTAAACCCAAACGAAGATTCTTAGTTTTCTCCATTATATTCTTCCTCCACTTTCACTACAGCTGTATGGTGTATGGTGGCTTCTCAGCGGGTCTCAGAGAAAGACTAAGAAGGATTATGAATAACTTATAAGATTCGTCAATGGAACCCCAAGATGTTCCCGTGTTTCCCACTATTACACCGAACAATTATTATGCTCATGTTCCCATGCTTTCCACTATTTGTGTGGCTCTTCCACTCTAGAAAACCGATGCTTATAATCTACACGATCTCCATCCATTGCCTCTCCATAAAATCTCGACCTTCTGACCTCTATATCCCTTTTTATAGATCTACATCATTCTAAATCTCCTTATTGCTCACTCCATCTCTTTTTGGAATTCTCTCCCTCTTGAAATTCATCATGCCCCTCCTTATCCATATTTAACACTCTCCTTTTCCAGTTCCCCTTCCTAACTTATTCAGATGCTGGCTAAATATATATTATTTAATAAGGATTTATTTTTCTTTATACATTTTTTTTTATCTTCTTATTTTTCTTTTTTTATTAGGAAGCCTACGATTATAAATTTTTTCATAGTTAAGGCAATAATACTTCCAATTTCCTTCAAATCCTTTTAATTACATTTATTATCGTTAACGTTTCGGGACAATTTTCCCATCATCAGAGCAATCCTTACCTTCACTGTAACTTTCTTTTTTTGATGTGGCACCATTTGTGAAAAATTCAAATATTTGTCACTTTCATTTTATATTTCTTTGGTGTTACACATCTTTTTTTGGTGTTACAAAAAGATTTACAAAAATTCCTTTCTGACCTGTAGTCGGAATTGTCCATCCCTACTAAGGATCAAATAATTAACATTGATACATCAAATATTTTATTTAATCTAAGAACATATTTTAAATAAAATAAAATAAAAATTAAGTTAATACTATTACGGCTTCTTGGTACTATCTCTCTGGTAGCTCCGATCTTATAATGCTCCCGATGCTTGATTTGCTAATGTTACTTAAATAGTTTCTTAGACGACTGTGAACATGCTATCTTTAGCATTTATTTCAGATACGATAGACGATCCATCCTGACCAATGGTTGGAATAAGACGGGCTCGTTCACTGGACAGAGATCTGGAACAAACAGACGACTAGTCCTTGATAGTAAAGTAGGGTCGCCTCCTCCGCTCCACATTTTTAACTCTATCGTACATTTTTTAATTTAAATACTTGATAAATAAAAATCATTACAATATATATACTTATTCATTGCATGGAAAGATAAGGGTGGCACACTATCCCTTGGTGTTTTATAGTATTTAGACAACCTGATCATTCCTTTACCATTAACAGATTATTTTTTAATATAGTTTAAAGCAGTTATGAAATCATGGACTCCTAATTATAACTATTAAGAATATTGAAGTGGGTTCTTTAATAGTAAAATATTGTAATTAAAAAAGGCATGTAGAGAACACACAAAAAAAATATAATCAAAAAGATTGGTTATTTATAGTTACAGAAAGTTTAAAAATTAATTGTTTATTTATAAATATTTTATTTATGGTTATAGTTAGATCATTTTAATGTTCTTATTATTTATTTTTTTTCATTGTTAGGTTTAGCAGATTGGGAAGATGCTGGACTTTTAGCTGAGGTGTTAGCAGTCTCACAACAAGAATATTTAGATAACTTAAAGAAATCTCGCAGCCTGAATGGAACACCAAATGACTCTCATGATTGTGAAGCTAACCTTGAAAAGCCATCTACCTCTCAGTAATGAGTGTTTCCAAATTTTAAAAAATATTGTGATTCTAAATATTTAGTTCAATTGTTTATTTGATGAATTAAAATTAAATATTATTTGTTTTAAATTGTTTTTCTATAAATTGAAATTATTTTTTGTTTTGTATGTTGTAGTTGATATTATAGTTAGATTATTTTTTCTTTATTTATGGAATTCTCTGAATTCATTATTCTATTTGTCACCCAAATGTTGGTGACTAATATTTATGAAACTGTGATAATTGCATTTGGGTAAACAAAAGTTGTTTTTGTTCTATTGCCCCTTTTTACTTTTTTTTAAATATATATATGTGTGTTTGTTTGCTAGTGATGGGCAAAAATGCTCTTACCATGGATCATATTGTGCATCTTTAGTCTTCTTTATACTTTTAATCAGTTCATGAGCAGTTCGCCCATCTCTGGCTGGTGCACATACACTTATTTTTTTAGTTTCACTTCCTTATTTTTAAAATATTAGAAAATTGAAACTATATACAGTTAAACTAAGATAAGTAGAGTAACTGTTGTCTGAATTAATATTGTATGAATTTGTTGTTCCTTTATTTCATTAATGCATTAGACCTCTGAGCTAAATAGCTTCATCATTTTTTATTAAAATATAAAAGTATATTAATTATTGCATACTTTTTGGTCTAAGTTTCAACAATAAAAAAGTTTTGCAAAGTGACATTGTTACCATTCTTATTGTTTTTTAACCAATCTCCCTCTATTAAATAGAAAAAACCTTATGCCTTAAAAAAACTTATTATTTTCTAGTTAGCAACATTACATATACTTTTAAAGAAAATAAAATTGTCTATAATCTCCTTTCTGTCAGTTTTCCCATAGAGCAAAAGGTTGAGAAGTTAACAAGACAAGTTTGATAAAAAATGTAAGGCTAAAATCTCCTTTCTGGAAATTGTTGATTTAAGAGCATAAATATGTCTAGAACTATAACAAATACGAAAACATGAACTGGAACATTCTAAAAGGAAATTTTATCAGCTTTAATTTTATATAAAACAAAATTTTCTATATGACGCACCATATTTGAGTTAAATCTGGATTTTCATTTGAATTTGGAATGGAATATGATTACAAAATATTTTTGATGAAATCTTCTTTTATTTAGGAAGTTATTAAATTTAAAAAACTAAATTACTTGATAAATTATTGTAAAAGAAAAATATACGTTGCAAAATTATTTTCACATTTTTTTTATAATATTAAATTTTTAAGTGATCAATGTTTGTATTAAATCCATTCACATCAATACCTGATTGAAAGCATTTTAGCATTAAGAAAACAAGACATTTTAAGCAGTCTGGCTCGATTCATTATTCAAGAAAAACTTTTGTTAAGCATTGTTTTTCGAGGAAATGGTATACTTACTCGAACTAGAATCTACCATGTTTTATAAATTACATTAATTATGTATTTTTAAGAGTGGTTAGGAGGCATCTGAATGCATTGTACAAGACTCACTCATTGATCTTAGGATTGTTCAAAAAATCTGCTTAACTTTTTATGAACTGTGTTCAAACAAGTGTCGAATTCCTAAACATATTTTGCTTTTAGTCTATTCCTAAAAGTAAAAAAATAGTCTGAACCGTGAAAATGGATACACCCATTAACAAGATATAAAGAGCCAAAAAAAGAAAATTCCGAAATTTTCAAACTATTTAATACTTAATAATCCCTTAAGAGCATTCTAAGCTTGTTTAATCCCATTCAACTTTTTCAAAAAAAGCCTTAGTTTAGTTATTTGTTTCAAAGAAAAAACATGAGTGTCCTATGAAATTCTCGTAATTTTAAGGCATCACTAGAAAAAAAATTTCACAGCCGCTGAAGTAACTCATGAAATTATTAAATATCAGAGAGGAGGTACCCTTGACCAACACACTGCGTGGCATTGGTTTGAAAAAATTAGCAGTGGAGATACGGCGTTGGAAAGAAAAAGGGCTCCGGGCGACCATTAATAGACATTAATGAGGTTCTACAGGAAGCTGTTGAGTCAAATCCGTGCACAAGTACTCGCGAACTTGCCATGGAGTGTGCTGTGTCGAAAGATACTGATAGTCGCCATCTACTCTCCATGGGGAAGGAGAAAAAGAGCAGTAGACTGGTACCTCACGAATTTACCCCTCGTTAAAAGGTTAGTAATTTGTGAAAATTTATTGAAAAACTCCTGCCTCATCCACCATATAGTCCAGACCTCGCACCATCAGATTACAGATTATCCATGGCCCATTTTTACAAGAGAAAACATTTGATAATTTTGCAGAAGTTGAAATTGTGGTCCAAGAGTTCTTTGACAGCCATCCCAAAGAATGGGATCGAGCAATTGGCTAGCAGATGGTTAATGGCAGTAGATAATGGAATATATTTTGGATATTAATTGTATTTTATATCAAAGAAATAATAATACAAATATTTGGTTGAGCAACGGTAATTTTTTTTTATACACCCTATTATTATAGAGTATAATATTTTTAAAATATAGTGATTTTCAAATAAAAAAAAATACTTCTCTCAACTTGGATGGGTTCAAAATCTAAATCCATGAGGTCTTTGAAAGGCTGACATGATCTTCACTTAAAATAACTCAATCTGTATTAAATAAATGTTTCCGGCATCCATATCCTTAATGGTAATAAGGTAAGATCAAAGAATTTACATACTCTACAAATAATTTAACACATGAGTTTATTTATATTCATTAAGCATACAAAAAGGAAAAATACATGTATGTATATCTGTTTACAAAAGATTCATATTTCAATTTTTATTTTCTTCAAATATTTGTTAATATTTTAATATTATTTGTCTATTAATCATATAGCTTTAACAGAGAACAATTTTGCTCCGTGTTCTCTTCTAAATTTGTCAAGCAATTGATTTTAACAACTTCTAAAGGAATGACTGTAGTTTCTGAGGAATAAACACAGGTATCTTTCTTAGGCATCAATGATTTTATGTGATTACTGAAGTACTTTATTTCATTGAACAGTGATGTGAAAGCTGTTTTAATATCAACTTCTGCATTTTTCATTGTTATAAAATCTGATGGTATCTGTTTAAATGGTTGTATATACAGAGATAGATCTTGAAAATTTCTGGAACATATAACACACATATTAATAATTATTATAAACCAAAATTTGGGAATTTAGTAATTCCAATTACTTTAATTTAACAAATACAAAAATTATGGTAAATTTCACACTTATTTCCATTTTAAAATTAAAATATTTATACTGTATCCATTTTATTTATATTTTAACAATACAGAAAATGAATTGAATTAAAATAAAAAATTGAATTAATATAAACGGATTTGGTATGCTCTGTCATGTCTCATGAATCGATAAACGTAATATTAAATATTAATATTACAGTTTCTTTATTATTTGAATTTATCGAGCAGAAATCGGCAGCTGTAATTTATCTCACTATAAAAGTGGACACAAAATGAGGTGGATGAACATTTTAGGTATGTTCACGCATTTACAATTATTCCCATCCAACCTTCAAACCACCACTGGCAATGTCGATCGTCCAATTAGCAAATAGTAATATTTTAAGTACTTAATTTTTGTGCTACTTATATATTATTTTGATTTTACTAAATTTACTTATTCATATCATAGTTGTTAATTTTAAACACAAATTTCAGTGAATAAGAGGGAATGTTTGAAAATAGATTTTAACTACATAAGGTCAAGTCGTGCATAAATTAAAAAAAAATTAAAGATAATAATTACTGATAATTTTAATCCAAAATCTTTATCTTACAGAAATTTTGTTGAGAAATACTTATAAGCTCACTAGGTTTTACCATATTAAATTATTAATAACATTATCACATTGAACAACATTTAATATGGATGTTATTGTTTACATTTAATTAATAAAGTAGTTAGAACAAATAAATAGGTTTTAGTTATTTCATATAACGTAAATAATTCATAACAACGAAAATCTTCAGGCTTGAATATCTCCTAAACAAAGCGTTTGCAATCATACCTTCAGAGGATTTTTTTTTCTTGTTTTAAAGTCCTTAGTTCATTTTTTCAGTTTAGCCACTTAACCCTGAAACACTCTGTATGTATGTGTATATATACAGGATGTTTTGTAATTGCAAGGCACTATTTTAGGTATGTGTTCACTAACACAAAATAAACAAAAAATTTCATATTAACATATATTTCAAACTCATTTACTAAACAGATATCAAAGGTTAAAGATTTATTATTTATTATTACTATTTTTTCACGATATTCTTCAAACAGCTGCAGCACCGTTTCTATGTACCTCGTCATAAGTTAGAAGCATATCTGTTTATTCTGCAAAAGTGAATAAATTTATGGTGTCTCCCATGATAATCATAAATTGAACTGTGTCACAGTATTCACTCACACTAAAACATACAGAACTAGACAAACAGATGAGCAACTACTGTCATTGCTTACGGTTAATTTGTTTATGAGGTTATTAAAATCTGTTATTTAGTATTAAAAACATTAAACTTTGTACAGTCAGTCTTAATGTAGTAAATAAATAATAAATCTTTCACGTTCGATGTCTATTTATTTTGTGTTAGTGAACACATACCTAAAATAGTGCCATGCAATCACGAAACACTCTGTATACTCTCGACATTGCTTAACTTTGAGTACCTATTGCAAGCGCCTTAGCCCGTACGGCTACTCCAGCCCGGATATAGGGGGGCTGGAGTAGCCGTACGGGCTAAGGCGCTTGCAATAGGTAATCAAAGTTAAGCAACGTCGAGCGTGGTAAGTACTTGGATGGGTGACCTCCCAATTCAGGTGGACGTCCGCCAGGTAAAACCATGCTGCCCGAGTCTCTCTCCCCTCCCCCCCCCGTATGTGAGACCCGTCAGTCTACTGGAGGCAACTTAAACCGACCAGGCGTAGGACTGATGACCCACCCCCGTGTGCTTAATCGGAAATCGGGATATGGTCTACCAGGATGTTAGTAGCCCCCTGAGGTTCAGTCCATGGACAGTCTGTTTCGGGGAAAGAAATATAGGCCCTCGTGCACCTGCTGACTCCGAGCAGCCATAATCCATGAATCTAGACCGATTTGTCACTGTCCTTGAGCCCGAGTGAGTCGGTGGGAAGGACACTGCCAGATTGGCCACAAAGGAATCGGCTATGGAGCTACAGGCGGTCTGCCGCTGCACCATGGAGATCATGGTTCGTAACAACGTGAGGTTGAGTGAATCCCTCCAGGCTATCTGAGCTCCCGCAAGCAACATGCGTCTGTAAGGAGACCACATCTCGCAGCCAAATATCTTCATGGTCTGTAGTGGCAACCAAAAAAAAAAAAAAAAAAAATATATATATATATATATATATATATATATATATATATATATATATATATATATTGGAAACTGGCAATAACAATTGTCATTGTTAAAATTATTTAAAGAGGACTATTGAGCAGAAAAATACAGCCAAGTTCCATTTTAAAAAAGTCATTAATTATTTGTAATTTTTTTTTATCACCTTTCAACTGTAATACATTTACTCCACTTTTCAAAAACTTCCTTGTTTAATAAGCTTTAAGTCCATATTAATTAAGTTGAGGTTTATTAGGAAAATTTTTGAAAAATATGTAATAAGTTGTACAAACTA